TTCAATATCAAATAATCAATTACCAACATATACAAGTCGAACAGTTCAACAAGCAATAAAAAGTTTATGTGGTGCACAATATACAGAATTATTTTATATATTTAATAATGGTACATTAACACAATTTGATGAATTTGTTAATCATCATCGAGAACAATATGCACGTGATAGAAATTTAGGTTTAATAAAACAAACACGAAATGCATTTATATGTAATAGTATACAACAATTAACAAAAACATTTTTAACTGTCTCATTAAAAGATCTTGCTAATCGTGTACAATTTCAATCAACAAATGAAGCTGAAAAATATTTAATTGATATGATTGAAAATGGACAAATATTTGCATCAATTAATAAAAAAGATGGTATGGTTATATTTCATGGTTCACCAGAAAAATTTGATGCTAATAATATGTTATCAAAATTACAAGATGAAACAGAAAAACGTATGTTAGCTGAAAAACAATTAAGAGAATTAGAACGACAAATATCATTAAGTAAAACATATATTCAACGTACACAACAATCAAGTCCTTATCATGATCGTCCCAAAGTACTTAGTTAAGACATTGACTTATTTGAAAATTTTCTTTTCTGTTCTTCTTTGTCTTTTATTCATCGATTTATTATCCAACAAACATATTAAACAATCGAGAAAGAAAACTTAACTTGTAAAAAAAAAACGAAGAACAACTAAAAAAAAAATCTGATCAAATACATGTTGCGATGACGAAAACGTGCGGATTGGTGGCAACACTAACCTGCCAGAGTAACATTCTACAATAATAAAAAGAATAACACGTTTTACGTTACATGTCAGTGCAGTCCGTGGTATTTTGTTGGTGACATGGTTGTGACCAGCAAATCATTAGTATGGAGTGCGTGAGTGCCGTCAAATGTAAAATTCTATGGTCCGTAGTTACTTTCATCAAATATCATAATAGGATATGGCGCATGATGTTGCTCAATGGTAAGAAAGTTCTTTTTTGATGAACGAAGTGCATTGTACAATGATAATATATTGTCACTAGTATATTTGAATGTAAAAGTTTTTCTCAGTATGCTTTATTTTGTACATGATTGAAAAAAAATACTACTAAACACTGTAAGGTCGTAAGCTGCACATCTTTAGTCCTTATCGAAAGATAATGACATTCTGACAGCATATTCGCTCATGAAGTTGATGATCATAAATTCAATATGGATAGGCATTTCAATACCGACACAATCGATACCTGTCAGTCACGGAGACATTCGACTGTTTGAGAAAAAACTTTCACATAATCCTAGACTCCTCTTGTGATAGAAGAAAAGAAAGAACCCAAACAGTAAAAAAGAATCGAATTTCCCCTTTTAAGTTACTTTCATGAAGATATTTGATTCATTGCTGAATCATGTTATATCTGGCAAAAAAGAATAAAACCGAATGAGTCTCATCATAGATCAAACTTGAAAAGGAACAATGTTCTAAGTTTTAAAAACAAAAGTGGCTAGAATTTTTAACAGGGATCCTATAGCACGGAAAAGTCCATAGCAAGGTATAATGAACTCTTGCTTTTATTCAGTATAAGAGCGATTATCATCGGCAATGATGAGAATAATTCGACTATATTGAACAAATTCTATTAATTTCAGTGTGAAAAAACGTAACGTAAAATGCAAAAGTAATGACAAAAAAATGTTGATCCTTATATCTCTTCGATATAAAGGTCGTGAAAGAGAACTTCTTTTAACTAAACGATAGGGCCTTTTTCTCCTGTTTCGAATCGTATATAACCCACTTTTATATCATGTTTATAAACGAAACGATGCAACAGAAAAAAAGAAGAAGCGTAAGAAGAAAATTTGCACTTTTTTCTATACAAGGACAGCATATAATGTCAATCCTTGTATCTCTTCGATAAATAGGCTTTGAGAAGAATATTTGTTTATGAATTGATAGGAAATTTTCTACTCTTCCGAACAGTGTATGATTCATATATGTCGCATATTGATAAGTGAAACAAGAGAGAGAAAAAAGAGAAACACTTGTGAAATAAATTGTTTATGTTTATATGAATTCATCAGTGATATCTTGTTGATGATAGTTGATTATAATGAACTGTCGTTTGAAAAGATCTTTTTATTGAGTTCACAAAAGTTAAATTTATTGTTGTCTAACAAGATGTTTTTGACAAGTTCATATAAAGATTATAAACTTCTTATGCAGGTGTTTATCTTTTTCCAGTCTTGTTTCATTTAACCAACGTATGACAAATATATATGATACACTATTTGAAAGAGGAGAAGATTTTTGCTATCAACTGATTAAAAAAATGTTCTTTTCGAAACGTATTTATCGAAGAATAATCAAAGAGAGATAGAGATCAACATTTTTCGCTCTTTTGCTGAATCTTATGAGAAGTGCAGATACTTTTAAATGTGCTTCTCTTTTCTATTGCATCGTGTTGTTTGTGAACGTGTTATAAAAATAAGTTATATATAATTGGAAAGAGAAGAACAAGCTCTATCGTCTGATAAAGAGGAAGTTTTCTTTCAGCACTCTTTGATCGAAGAGAAATAGGAATCGACATTTTGTGCCATTAATTTTGCATCATACATTATATATGATTGTATTAAACAAAGTAATAAACTCAAGTAAAATAATTTAATTCATAGTGAATGAAGTTAAAAAAGAAATTTTTTTCTAAAGCCTTTAATAAATACGTTAAATGAACTTGTTTCTTTTGAAATAGGAGAAGTTCTGAAAATATGGCAAAAGTTTGCATCAGTGGAACAACGATACGAAAACCATACTGAAATCTTGAGAGTTACTCTTATGAATGTGAACCAATCGGCAGATGAAAAAAATTGTTTAATAACTATTGTTCAAGTACTTTGTATGTCTCTTGGTGCAGTATTATTCTATACAGATATCTATGGTTATCTTGCATCGTACAAATGAAAACAAAAGATTCAAACAACAATAGCATGTGAAAATAAAATCGACGTTCTTTTTTTGCAACAAGACTGGGTTGGAAAAAAAAGCAAATGATTTGAACTTGGATCCTGTGCAACTTTTAATTGACAAAAAAGTTGTTGGTTTTTCTCCATTTCGTTGATTGACTTGGAAGATAGGGCTTTGCTTTGGAAAAGACTACAAACGATAAGAACATCAATTGAACTGTTGTATGGCGATAGAACTACTAAAGGAAAACAGAAAATAAAAAAAAAACGATATTCTTTTAGCATATACGGAACATTGTAGAGACGAAAGGATGCAAGTGTTTTTCGAACATTTATTGTTAATTGGAAAATTTAATTTCTAGTTGAATGTGAATATAAGAAAAATGAATCGGGAAACAATATTTTGCATTATAAAAGATGTTAAGGAGTGGTATGGAACGTGGAAGTAAAAAGTAAAGTGAAACAAAGAATGAAAATCAAATATCGTTCACAGAAACGTGGTCATACGAAACGTTTTTTATATTATAACTGAATCTAAATATTATGCTTTTATTGCAAATAATAGTTCTGTTCGATAGTGTATCGTTTAACATAGTTTGAGAGACTTTTGTCGATAGATATCATGCTTGTGATGCAAACCTCTCCATATGGTTTGCAGTGCCGAGACGATCTATGGTACAGGTCCGGGTGAACTCCAGTGATGTAGGCCAATATCCAAAAATTCGTTCGAAAGAGTCTGTTCTCAATGGAACCAGCGCCGACTTTGAAACAAACGAGAACAGATACTACACTTTGATCTTAGCCGAAAAGGTCGAGAAACGATAACTATTTTAATGAAATTAAATCTCCACTATGGTCTTTTGCATACGCATTACTTGCTGCATAGAACAAAAAAAATATATGATGTGTTAGAACAACATAGATATCGTGCCCCATAGGTGCACGAGTAAAGTTACTTCTTACAACTTACCAAGAGATTTTCATTTGATCATGACATCTTCATCAGAACCATTATTTATAAAATACGTAATTCTAGAAGAATCTATTTTTACAATTGATACATCGGATAAACATTGGCTCGCTTCTGAAGCATTTTTATCAAATGAAAAACTTAATGTTAAAAAAGTTGATGACATTAACAAATTTGTATATAATCCATTACTTGATTTAAAAGCTCAAAAAAAAATAATATCTTTTTAGCCGTTTAAAATCATGACATGGAAGATGTGAAAGTGATCTAACTATTGATGATGTATGAGATACAATACTCAAAAGCAAGAGCTTATAAACCCCCCCTCATATTAAAAGACCCAGGGTCTTGTATAATGTTTAAGCGGAAAATTTTTTTAGGGAGGTCTTGTATTATGACTCTCGTATTTTCGCGATTTTTTTAGAAACTCACAATTATTTTCGAAGAATTTAGTAAATGCAAGTTTAAGTACAAGTCTTACGGCTCCTCAATTTTTATTATAGTAATCAGATGCTGGGAAAAACATCACCCACACCCTTCCCACAGCAACAAACAATAGGAAGTAATTAATATCAACGGCTATCTTATTTTATAATCTGTAATTTCTAATTTCTCTTCTAAATATTATGCTTTTAAGTTTTGTAAAACTCACATATATTTTCGAAGGAACTAACAGTGATCGTAGGTTTGAATCAAGATTTTTCAGCTTGTTCCCTCTTCCCCATTATATGTCGTAGCAATCATTTAGATTTAATACCCGTAGAATAAAAAAATGAAAACAAATGGTTGCTCTCAGGTAAAAAAATTTAAAAAGTGGCGTTTTCCATGATGAAAAGGGTATAATCATGCATGTTTCTTATTTTCATTGATTAAAATCAAAATTTTTACCACTCTCGTTTCATGATTTTGATTTCTAATCATTTTCATTATAATGATCTTGATTAGAAATCAAAATCATGAAATGTAATTCATGAAACTTTCATTTTAAACGATGAAAATACAAAACATGTATGATTATATCGCTTTCATTATGAAGTATGGCTTTTTTTTTCGTTTTTCTATTCCCTGGGAAGGTTGTGAAAACTTCTACAATCATTGCTTTTCAATAGTTCGAATATTTTTATGAGCATTCGCAAAAAGCTAGCCTCCTTTTTTGCGCAGATAAAAGTTTATACGATCCATTTGAAAGATAATCTTTTGTGATTTTTCATAACGGTAGTATAAGTTATATAAAATCGTGATCAAACTACTTTCTAACTTTTAGAAATATTTATTTTGTGTCTTATTCAGTACATTAGTATGCATACAAGATTGTTAGAATATGGCGAAGATAGACCCAATGTCTATACTAAGATTATTTAATCATTAAATTAGAGCTTGAATGGAATAATACGAAATAATGATAATATCGATTAACAGAAGAATAACACATTGCGAATGGCAACAGGAAAAGAAACGCATTAGAGAAAAAATATGTTTGAAATGTACGAATAGAAACTACTCGAAATTAATCATTATGACCAATGTTTTTTTTGAAGTTTAACATTCAGCGTCGCTTGTCATAATATTATAAATATATTCAGGAAATCTGATAACTGGAATGAAGGAGAGATAGGAATTCGAAATGAAATAGTTTCTTCAGAATAATG